TTCATGTTGCTGCTGATCTGTTTCATGTTGCTGCTGATCTGTTTCATATTGCTGTGTCCATGCGTGCTCTTCTGTTCACACAAACTCATGTTCGTGCTGCTGTTGGACATAATGTTTTTATGCTACTAGTGCTTAGTGTATTATTTAGTTGATGTTTTTCTTAGTTCATATCTTAGATCATATTACTGTTTATCTTTAATATGTATACTTTTGTTGGATGTAACTGGGACCCTGTGTCCACAATTTTGTTCCACTACATGTACCACATGTGGTGCACATGACAAATAAAGAAACTCTGACTTTGACTTTTTTGAAAATAAAAAAAACCAACATACATAATACATAAAAACCTTCCCAGCTCTTTTACAAAAGTGTGAATTAAAAAACAACAACCATATTAACATTGTCAGACACTAACTCATCTGCAGTCTGATGATGACACACGTCTTAACCTGCCCCCCCCCACCCCTTTCCCTCCTGTTTTATAAAAAAACTCCAACACATGCAGGTCTAATATATATATAATTGTACTCATTTTTAAATGTTGTAATTGTTTTAACTCAAGAGTTTTAAATGTTTAAAAATAATTTTAATTTGGTTTTTACTGTTGATCTTAACTTTTCATTTAACCAACTGTTAAAGGCCCATCTAGGGACAGGTGTTGCAAATTAGCTTTGCCTATATACACTGTGATGCTGGCATTAGATAGTTTTCATCTATGTTTCTTGTATCTGTCCCTATCAAATAAACAATAAATAAATAACATGGAGTCATAATTGACAGAGTCTGGCTTCATATCTGGAAGCAGTAAAGTCAAAGAATGTTGTTTTGGCTTGCAGGAGGCAGGAATGAAATGTACCCTGGTGACAGCAGCAATGACGTAAGAGTTGTGCTAGTCATTCATTAGCCCTTTGATGCTAACAACACAGTGTGAAAAAAGAAATGGGCACATTTCAAGTGTTCATAAAGGAATAAAATGGGTTTACTTGTTTAATCACCAGCATATTCTTCAGCAGAGTTTCATTTTAATTGACATAATTTTGAATGTGTTTTTCAGAGTTTAACTAAGTGCGATAGAAGGAGAAGCACGGAGGCAAACACGAGATCTTCAGGGTTTCTTGTTAGCACCAGCGAAGGCGAGGAGTCGTTAAACTGCTACGGCCCCATGAGTCCAACATTCAAGGTAACCCATAAAACCATAGGTGGTCTGCATTAGCCCTGTTTTTACAGGGTCTTCTGTGTCCAGTTTGCTTCCAATCAGGTGAAATGGCTGTGATAACAATGTGTTATGTTCAAAATGCCTAAAAATATATTTTTTTCCTCTTTCTTGCTCCTCCAGAAACTCCTCATACAGTTTTACCCAGTAAGTACAGATTAAGCGGCGATAATGTTCTTGCCTGTGTGTGTGTGTGTGTTTTTTGTTTTGTTTTGTTTTTTTTGTTTTTTTTTTTGGGGGGGGGGGGGGGTCTTTCCATTACCCAAACATTTTTATGGAGAGATTTCAATAAAAATTACAGAAAGTAAATCAACTGATGAACCTTATTTTAACTTATGTCTTACTTTATATTATATTTACCAAGTTCAATAATCTTTCTTATCCCCAAGGATTGTTTCACAGAAGAGACATTAAACATCCGTACTAAACAAAACATTGAGACATTAAAATAAGAGAACAGAAATCATCACTGTTCATTGAGAAGCCTGACCACTACAGGGATGAATGAGTTTCAGTCTGTTTGTTCTACATCTGGGCAGCACGTACTTGTGTCCAGATGGAAGCAACATGAACTCACCATTCATTCAACCTTTATTTATACAGGTTACATGGTGAAAGTTGAAGAGACTCAATAAAACATGAATAAAACGTACTGTATCTGTTTTTGGCAATGAGCAAACTGAAGATGGGTGTCACCACTAAATGACATTAGTCAACATAAAATAGATATGTCAGTCCATTTTGCAACTACTGAGTTAACATTTTGTATCATAGTGGCTGGAAGTCATCACAATATGTACATTTACCACTATGCGGCGCTAGAAGTATGTAGCACTGTTTCACACAGTTTTGAGCAAACCTCTCAACCTCACACACAAGCTCAGGCCACACCCCCACAAGAGAGGTGATGTTCCATGTCCCAAGAGCCAGCTTTGATAAGCTAAGGTCAGAGTGCCAAGGCCCCAACAGCTACCACCTGACCCTATGCACCGACTCGTATGGCCTCTCCTACAGGTGGTGGGCTTACAGAAAGGCAAAGTCATGTTTGTGCTGAGCCTGACACTATGGATTAAGGCCCGGTTATCAGGCACTCACAGATGAGACCCTCCCCAAGGCTTGGCTCCAGGGTGTGACTTTTATAACCCACACCCATACAAGGGAGACTGCTACTCTGTCCATACAAGTATTCTGTATTGCTCTTTGTATGGCCTGTCGCGTGAAACCAGTCTGGCTCGGGAGACTCTACCAGTGGCCATCGCCCCCAACAGCAAAGCTCCTACAGGATCATTAAGGAGCTCCAACTCCTCCACCACAATAAGGTGGTCGTTTACACAGGAAGTGAATGCCAAGTCAAAACAGAAGAGGCATTTTAACATGTTATCCACGAAAAGTCTGGGGTTCACCCCTGAGGGCACCATTAAACTCAACCAGTTCAAACCACTTTATAAGTAAAACTCCTGTTTTGGTTTTCATTGTGGATCTTTCAGCCAATCAGATGAAGTGATTCAAAGTCTATGTTCACTTCTCAGTCAGTTTAATGAAAACAAGAGTCTACTCACGACACCAGCAGTTCCTAATCAGTCAGCTGCCGTGGATGGTAGCAGTTTGTGCACTGGTACTGAGAGTAAAGAGAAGGCTCCAGTCCTGAACAAAATCCACTCCAGGTCAGAGGAGGCAATTCAAACAAACCCCCGTTACTCACCAACTAACCAACCCACCATAACTTACCAACCAACAACTGAAAGGTGCACCGAAGGGCATTTTATTCTCCTTCCTGGTTTGACGTTCACTTACTGCAGTTGACTGTGGTTGTGGGTGTGACTGATAACTTTTAGTGTTTTTTTTTTTTTTTTTTTTTTTGGTTGAAGGGATGTGGTACTGCTTAGAGCTAACCCTATCATTTCATTCTCATCAGTCCACCCAACATGTGCACACGTGTGAGAGTACTCTTACATTTTGCATGTTATGAAGTTATATTAATGCACACCTTTTTCTTCCGCTCATGATCCAGCTCTGCCACGTTTCATGAAATATAAAGCTAAATACTTTCTGCTGACTAATAACCTCTTTAACAATGAGCTTCCTGTTTCTGTCATGGTCTATGAACTCATCGGAAAAAAATTAAAAAGGGAGTGATTCAGAGATGTGTGTGCTTTCTCTGCTGCCGTTCCAGTAGTTTAGGGAGAAAGATCTCAGCTCAGTGTGCTTCTTTACAGGAAGAGGCCAACAACCGAGTCTCAACAGATGGAAAATGTACGGTGAGTGCTGCAGTACAGACGGCTGACGTCAGCGGTCACTTTGTGCGGGTGGTGAGCTGTTTCTTTCTCTCCTGCAGATAATTGAAAGAACAGAGTCTCTCAGGAGAAGGTGAGTCTGATTGGAAAATATAGACGAGATAAGTTCAACATTGAGATAAAGACTTCAGGGATCTGAGTGAACAAAAGGAACTTGAACGTTTTTAAGTATTTCAATGACAAACCCATTTATTTTTAATAAGTATGTATTGAAACTTTACACTGCAACAATTATTTTACTTTTCCACCTGTAAACACTGGGAGATGTTTTTTTTGTGTGTGAATAATCTTGTTATTTATGGTTTGTTCAAAAGCAGCAGCAACATAAAGAGGACACAAGCTCCTGTTTCTGTTTCAAAGATTGACAAAAGGCTGGAACAATACACACACGCTCTGGAGGTAAAAAAAAGAAAAAAAAAGTTTTAATTCTTCTAAATTCATTCAAGCTTTATTTAAACCAGTTGGTCCCATTGAGCCTCAGGGACTCATTTACAAGAGAGACCTGATTTAACCGAGTGATGACAACAGTAGGCAATCATAAAAGAGAGCATGTAAATTGAGAAAAAGAAGTGAAAGAAAATGGTATTAAAAAATAAGAAAAAAACAGCTGGGTTGTAAGGCGCTGTAGAAAACTAAAAACGGGAACGTCTGTAGTGGTTGTTACCAGGAACTTAACAGATGTTTAAAGACACTTAGAGAGGTTATGATTGAGAGCTTCAGATCTTTTTGCAAGGTATTCCAGGAAACAGGAGCAGAGTAGGAGAAGGCCCTTTTGCCAAGTTCAGTCCTCACTGAGGGAACACTGCAGGTAATAATGTCCTGAGAGCGCACGCTGTAGCTGCACTCACACAGAGACATGTAGGAGGAGATGTATGAAGGAATGTATGACCAAGAAGTGATTTAAAGATGAAAATGTACCAGTGAGAGAGTCTGCGTGAAGTTAATGATGTCCAGTTAACCAGTGAATACTGGGTGCAGTGGTGGGTACGATAATCACAGCCAGTTATGAATCTTAGTGCACCATGATAGACAACATCCAACATCTGCAGCATCCAACATCTGCAGGGTTCTTGTAGGAGCGTTCATGTAAATAATGTCACCGTAATCAATGGAGGGAAGGAACTTTGTCAATCTGCATGGAATTGTCTTTTAAAAATCATTGAGAAATTCCTTAATTTAAACTTGTTCATTTAAAGGAGAGAGCAGCATTGTGGCTCAGTTGGTAGAGCTGATGCCTCTCAGTGAGGTCACCAGTTCAAATCCCTGCCGGGGGCCTTTCTGGGTGGAGTTTGCATGTTCTCCCCGTGCATGCGAGGGTTTTCTCCAGGTACTCCAGTTTCCTCCCACAGACCAAAAACATGCATGTTAGACTGACTGATAACTCTAAATTGTCTCTAGGTGAGAGTTAGAATTCTTGTTTGTCTCTATGTGTCCATGTGATGGACTAGAGACCTGTCCAGGGTGTCCCCCACCTCTCACACAGTGATAGCTTTATATGGGTACCAGTGACCCCCGTGACCCAAAAAGGAAGAAGCGGATAAAGATATGTGATGGATGGAAATTTCATAAGCGTCTTTGAGTGGGCAGCTCTCTGCTCCACAGGCTGTGGTAGCTCGCTGTGGTTGCGTCAGGAAAGACAACTGGTGTAAAAACAATTTGCCAGATTCTCGTGTGAATTCGCTCGCTATGGCAACCCCTGAAGAAGGGAGCAGCAGAAAGAAAATAAACAAGCATCTTTCACCTTTATTTCTGAACTCACCTTTAATGTGAAAGGTCTTGAAACTAATCCAAACTGCATCTGAAACTTTCTGGATCTCTACTTGTTTCCTTGAGGGCTCCTCAAGAGAAGAAAAACTCAGCTGTCAGCAGCTGACGGACCTGGTGAGTTGCTCTGAACCTGTCGCCGCGAAGAAGAACCTGTTTGAAGCCGGAGAAGCCTGGAACCAAAACGTTCTCTCTGTCACCCCGTCTAAGGTCAGCGAGAAGGATCAGCATCAGTTTGATGCAGAATTGTTTCCTATTTAGTAAAAAATCTTGATGAAGGTTTTGAAGAAAATTAAAAATATATAGTTTTCTCTTTTGTCCCAGGATGCAGATAGTTTAAAAGTCGGTGTGGCTGATCTCATCAACCACTGGATTAAAGGAGGTGAAGATGGAAGCAGGAGTCGCTCTCCTTCAAAACCAGCAGTGAGTCTTGTTGTATGAATGCTTTTTAAGCGTTCACACTATTTTGACCCTGTTTATATTTTTTATTCCGACTTCTCGTTAATTTAACTATTCCGTATGTTTTTCTGCACGATTCTCGACCCACAGTTTTTAAGCTATTTGAGCAATTTAGGTATCAGAACGTTCAGCCCCTTCCAGAGAATGGTCCTATGACTGTTGGTATTGGTGCCACTTTGGCTTTTTGAAATATTTAGCCTTTTTTGTATTTATTTTTTTTTTATAGAAAATGAATTAAGCACATTTTACATCCTTCGAATCTTTAGATGTGTTTGCAACCTTTAACTGCTCCTTTCACAATTTGTTCTGGTTCAGCTTCTTTCAGCTTCCTTGTACAAATGTAAACTTTTTCAGCTACTTTCCACTAATTTCATCTGATTTTTCATGTTTTGTGCTCCTGTCAGATTCTTTCTTCTAACCACAACATTTTTCTGCTTCTTCTAACTTCTTACTGCTAATTTCAGCTTGGAATGCTCCTTTCAGTTTACTTCTGCACGTTTAAGCTTTTTCTATTATTTCAGCTGAAAGTTTAGCTGTTTATGGTTATTTAAGCCTTTTCGGCTAATTCCACAATTTTAAAACTAATCTAAACTTTTATCAGCCCAATACAGCAAAAAAAAATGTGCTCTCTCCACTTCCTTCTGGTAATTGCAGCCTCTTTCTTGTCTTTTAGCTACTATTTAGCTGGTTTTTGTTGTTGTTGCTAATTTCAGCTTTTTTTTTTCCAGATAATTTCCACTTTTTGTGCTCATTTCTGCTTCTTTCAGCCTTATTAGGCAAACATGTTCTTTCTGTTTTATTCTGCTAATTTAAGCTTGTTCTTACTTTTCAACTCCCTTTGACATTTTTAAGCTAAATTCATCTGTTTTCAGACAAAGTCAAGTTTTTCATGGTCATTTTTGCTACTTTAAGCCTAAGTAACAAATTTCTGTGCATGTCAGCTTGCTGTGCTCCTTTCAGCTTATTTCGGCTAGTTTGAGCTGTTTTTATGTTACTTTTGTTGTTTCAGCTAATTCCACATTTTTTTGCACTCATTTAAACTTTTTTCAGTCTAGTTCAGCAAAAATGTGCTCTCTCCACTTCCTACTGGTAATTTAAGCTTCTTTTTGCCGTTTTAGTTACTTTTCATATGTATATATATTTTTCTATTTTCAGCTTTATTTTGGCTAATTTCCTTTTTTGGGGGCTAATTTCTGCTTATTTAAAGCTAATTCTGCAAATGTGTTATTTCTGCTTTTTCTTTCTTTTATTATTTTTTACCAATTTAGGATTGTTCTTGCATTTCAGCTACATTTCAGCATGCTTTTTTTTTTTTAGCTAATTTCAGCTGTTTTTCAGTTCTTCTGCAATAAGTATTCACAATGCATTTTCACAGGAAATGCAAATTGTTTAGTTTTTGTTGTTGTTGTTTTTGTTTTGTTTTTGTTATAGACACTGAAACTAATTCCTCACACTTACTGCTTGGAAATTTACAGCATATGGGGATGATAACAACTAATAATAGGCCATTTAATGGCTAATAACATTCAAAGCAGGTGAAATTTTATCAAAGTAAACAGAAAACAAACAAACAAACAAAAAATAAAATCAGGAGCCTTGTTATTTTCATACTGTTTGGGTTTTTGGTTTCTGTTCTTATTCCTTTCAAACCCAGCCAGTAAGATGAGCACTTGTCCTGAGCCTAGTTGTGCTAAAGGTTTCTTCCTCATGAGTGAGTTTTTTCTTTCCACTGTCGCCTTCATGCTTGCTCAATATGAGAGTCTGCGATGAAGTTAAACTCAAAGCAGCCTGCGCCTCAGATAAATAATGTTAAATTATTACTTATATATATGAATGTTTCTGTTCAGTGCTCTGAGATGACTTCTGTTGGGACTTGGCGCTTGATAAATAAACTGAACTGAATTATTTTTCATTCAGTCACTGCTGTTGAGTAAAATCAAGGATTCCTGCCGCTTTTATTTTGAACAGGAGATTAAGGATTGTGGAAGGTCTGATAACTTATTTTTAACTACTTTAAAACATAGGTGTAAGTTTTTGAGAAAAAAACAGAATTGTATAATTTTATGTGGAGAACGTCACATTATTGTTGCAACTTTGGACACTAAGATCTTAAGTTTATCAGGATTAAGATTTCAAGATGTCTCAGTTTATGAATGACTTTTATTGCTAAAAGCTTAATCCATGTAAACAAGGCACAGCCTGAAGCTTCTCCCCACAAGAACATTTAAAGTAAAACTTTGAAATGACACAATGTTTAAAGCCCACCTTGTCACTGTGATTCATTTCATGGCTGCACTTGGTCTGGCTTCATGGATCTCCATCTGCTGCTCATCAGAGCAGTCTGACAGAGCTGACGGCAGACGTTTGCCTCCCTGTGGCAGTTTTGTTCACTCGCAGATCATTCACACACACATAACAAACGTATCTGTTGTTGATTCCCATTTTCAGGAAATAAGACCTGGTGGGCTTTAAAATAGGAAATATTTATGGGAACATGTCAGTGACATATTCTCTTCGGCAAGCGATGGAAAGGTACCCATCAACCCCCCTGGATTTAACTGTTTTTATGATTTATCTTTTATGACATTTACAATATCTACTTGTGTTTATTCAGAGTGCCTTTCAAAATAAAAGAGGGCCTTAACTAAACCAGTTTAAATAGATGTATTGTCCCCAAAAGGAAATTTGTCTTGGACATCGTGTGCTAAACAAAGCTTCTTCCATATTAAAATACACTACAAACAATAAAATCATGTGAACACCACAATAAAATGAAAACACATATTGATAAATAAAAACACACATTCCCACATCCAGCAAGTAAACAAAACAACAAATCAGACCAGAGCATCAGCAGCCTGACAAAAACTATTCAAGGATTCAAGGTTCTTTATTTGTCATCCACACCATATGTGGTCCATGTGGTGGAAGGAGATGACGTACACAGGGTCCCAGTTACATCCAACATAAAATGTAAAAGAAAAACAGTAACAAGATCTAAGATATGAACTAAGAAAAATGTTAATAAAAACACGCTCAGCACTAATAGCATAAAAACATTACGCCGAACAGCAGAACGAACATGAGTCTGTGTGAGCAGATGAGCACGAATGAACACATCAACATGAAACAGATCAGCAGCAACATGAAACAGATCAGCAGCAACATGAAACAGATCAGCAGCAACATGATGTGATTTTTCACAGTGATTATCCTGATAGAGATTCATGAATCTCTATCAGGATAAGTCTAACAGCTTCAGGGTAGAAGCTGTTCCTCAGTCTAGTGGTTCTACACTTAATGCTCCTCAACCTCCTTCCTGAGGGGAGCAGGGCAAAAAAAGTGTGTGTGCTGGGTGAGTGGGGTCCTTCATGATGCAGGTGGCTCTCTTCCAGCATCTGGAGGTGTAGATGTCTGTGATGGTGGGGAGGCTGACACCAACAGTCTTCTGTGCAGCCTTCACCACTCTCTGCAAAGCTTTTCTTTCTGCAGCTGTGCAGCCTCCATGCCACACGTTGATGCTGGAGCACAGGATGCTCTCCACTGCACACCTGTAGAAGGAGGTGAGGACTGAACTTCCCAGACCAGCTCGTCTCAGCCGCCTGAGGAAGTAGAGTCTCTGATGAGCTTTCTTGATCAGGCTGGTGGTGTTGTTGCTCCAGCTGAGGTTGTCATTCAGGTGCACACCCAAGTACTTGTATCTGGAGACCACTTCCACCGCAGATCCTCTTATGTTCAGGGGGGTGTAGGTGTTTTTGTTCCTTCTGAAGTCCACAGTCATCTCCTTTGTCTTCTTCACATTGATGTGAAGGTTATTCTCTTTGCACCAGCTCTCCAGGTGTTCCACCTCCTGCCTGTAGCTGGACTCATCATTGTTTGAGATGCATCCCACCACCGCTGTATCATCTGCAAACTTTACAATGTGACAGCCTGGATGGGTAGCTGCACAATCATACGTGAGCAGAGTAAACAGGAGAGGACTCAGCACACATCCCTGAGGAGAGCCAGTGCTGAGGGTTATGGTGAAGGAGGAGAAGTTGTGGATCCTCACAGACTGTGGTCTGTTTGTAAAGAAGTCTAGGACCCAGTTGCAAATGGAGGGTCTTAGACCTAGTGTAGATAGTTTGTACATCGGGTTTGGGGGATCATGGTGTTGAAGGCAGACGTGAAGTCCACAAAGAGCATAGGGACATAAGAGTTTTTCTGCTCCAGGTGGGTGAGAGCAGTGTGGACCATAGAGGAGATGGCGTCTTCTGTAGATCGACTGTCACAGTATGCATACTGGTGAGGGTCCTCATTGATGGTTGTTTTGATGTGAGTCATGACCAGTATTTCGAAGCATTTAGCAACTATCGGGGTGAGGGCTACTGGCCGGTAGTTATTCAGACCAGTCACTGTATAGTTCTTTGGGACTGGGATGATGGTTGCAGTCTTCAGGCAGGTGGGAACTGTTTCCAGTAAGTGAGGAGTTAAAGATGTCTGCCAGCACCTCACAGAACTGATCGGAACAGTCTTTCAGCACCTTCCCGTGGATGTTGTCTGGGCCAGTTGCTTTGTGAGGATTAATCCTTCTGAACATACTCCTTACATCGGCTGTGGTCACTCTGAGATGCTCTTCTTCCAGTGGTGAGGTGAGTCTGGTGCTGGGTGGTCTAAAAGACTGTGCAGGTATTCCTACTTTATTGAACAATCTGATGTAGGGACAAATTATTTTTTTTAATCTAAGTCTACAAGCAAGCATTCTAATCCATTTGCCAGACGTTAACAGTTTGTATTTTGAGTTGAGGATGTGAGTCGGGTCAGACAGCACCCTCCGAGCAAGTCTGATGACAGACTCATAAAAGATAGACTGCAGGGAGGGGTGATAAGTCCTTCCTATCACAAGTTCAAATGCTTCTTTCTTATTTCAATTTGATCCAAACAATCCTCATTTTCACATATGACTTCACATTGATCATTGGTAAACTTTTAATAATTCTGGAAATGTCTGTCTAAATACGAACATCCTTTAAGTAGGATCTACTTTATATATATATATATATAT